TCAGTGCTTTCATTGTTGTCTTACAAGTCAGAAGCAGGCTTGAAGTAGGGGATTTGTTAAAAACCTAACAGTGAGTGACAGTGAGTAAAAATGAGTAACGTGAAGCCCAGGGCTTCACATTATGAATCTTATTGTTAGGACATTTATGATTACATGCAAAATTTTCTTCTACAACACTGTAAAAAGTTAACAGTGTCCTTAGAAACCAGAGTTCCAATTCTCCTACAATACTTGTTGGCTAAGAGATCTTGGGGAAAATTTTCCTAACATCTCTGAGCTTCAGTTATTGTGATAAAATGGCAAGAATAACTCCTAGGTAGCTAGGATCGGATCTGACTGGGACAGGAGGAGATTGCCCCTCCTTTTCCAGAAGAGCATCTGGTGGATTCGAACCGCATACCTCTGGTATTGCAGTGCAACTTCTTGCCACTAGGCCACCAGAGTTCCTGACAAAGTATATTAAAAGGGGGCTTTTTTTGCAAAGAACTGGTTACAAATTTTTGTGACTGGACATGGACATAATTTTTTAAAATCTATTTTTAAACTAAACAACTTGCCTCCAGAAACACTAAACTTTGATAAATGTCAGTAATTGTAGAGGGGCTTCAGGCCTTCTGTTCATAGGGTCGCTATAAGTTGTGTTTGACTCAAAGGCAATAAATAACAACAGCATTTTTACACTACCACACTCCAAAAGAGAACATGAGATGCCTTACAAAATTCCGTAGGATGCAACAATGTAAAACAACTAAGTGAAGAAGTCAGGTTAAAGAAAAGATAAGGACAGGAAGAATAAAAATGAAACCAGGTGTGCATGCCATTGAGCCCTGGAAGTGGCTTTGAGCTTTCCTACAGTTGTAAAAATGAATAAATTCAAGATTTAAACGAGCTAGATTAATTAGCAGTCCTTCCCTACACTTTTGCATCCTTAAAAATCAAGTCTTAGGAAGACTGCTGAATCCAAAGACTGTTTCCCTTCCCCTCCCCCATATGAATATTACTGGAAATAGAAAAACTAGTTCAAGATTTAGCTCTTGTAATTTACTAATTGTAGTAAGTTGCTACTCAGTTATTGAGTAGGTTCTGACTCATAGCAATCCTCCATCAGTTTTTGAAGTCTGTAAATTAGAACCTGAGGAGACTGCCCACCTTTCTCTAAGAAGTCATTGATGGAATTGAATCACAAGAGATATACCACCTTTGGGTTATCAGCTCAATTTACTATGGACTATGAAATAAAGTACTACAATGAAGTGTGCAAGGAGCTAGAGTCAGAAAACCAAAGGGGCCAAACTCACTCAGCATTTCTTAAGGTGAAGGAACTGAAGAACAAATTTAAGCTTCGAGTTGCAATACCTAACGATGCTTTCTTTGGGTAGAATATTAGGTGACCCAGGACACAGTAAAAGAAGATGGAAAGAGTAGACAGTCATTGTATCAAAAGGAATTGGCAGACACAGACAAATTTCAGGTATGAACAAGAGCCTGTGGTGATGAAGGAAGTTAAAACTGCTCTGAAAGAATTGGAAAAAAACAAGGCCCCAGGTATTGATGGCACACCAGTTGACATTTCAACAAACAGACACTGCCCTGGATGTGCTCACCAAGTTGTGCCAAGAAATCTGGAGGACAACCACCTGGCCAATTATCTGAAAGAGATTTATATTTGTTCCCATTCCAAAGAGAGATGAACTAATAGAGTGAGGAAATTATTGACAATATCATTGCTATCACATGCAAGCAAGATTCTGTTGAAGATTATACAAAAACGACTGGAACAGCACATCGACAGAGAACTGCCTAAACTGCAGGCTGGGTTTAAAAGAGGCCGTGGTACAAGGGATATTTTAGTTAATGTTAGATGGATCTTAGCTGAAAGCAGAGAGTATCAGAGGAATGTCTGTGTTTCACTGACATCATTTGACTTTGTGGATCACAACAAACTGTGGCCGACTCTGAGAAGAATGGGAATCCCAGAACACTTGATTGTTCTTATGAAAAGCCTATACTTGGACCAGGAGGCAGTCATCAGAACAGAGCAAAGAAATGCTGCATGGTTCAAAATTGAGAAGGATGTACTCTCTCCATACCTTTTCAATCTTTATGCGGAACAGATTATCCAGGAGTCTAGGCTCTATGAGGAGAAATGTGGCATCAGGATTGGATATAGACTCATCAACAATCTGCATTATGCAGATGACACAACCCTGCTTGAGGAGGAATGGAAGCATTGCTGCAGAAGGTCAAGAACTGCAGCCTTCAATATGGATTGAAGCCAAACATCAAGAAGACAAAGATTCTCACCACTGAGCTGGAAGCATCATGATAGATGAGACTGAGATTGTTAACAGCTTCAGTTTGCTTGGCTCCACAATCAACACTTGGTACGAGCAGCCAGGAAATTAAAAGATGTATTGCATTGGGAAAGTCTACTGTAAAAGACCTCTCCAAAGTGCTGAAGAACAACGATGTCATTCTGGAGACTAAGATGTGCCTAATCCAGGCCATTGTCTTTGCAACTATTTGCTACACATCAGAAAGCTGGACAATGACTAGGGATGATAGAAGAATTTATGCCTGTGAGCTGTGGTGCTGGAGGTGAGTATTGAACATACCATGCTAGGAGAACAAACAAGTTTGTCTTAGAGAGGGTGAGACCAGGCTGCTCCTTGGAGGCAAGGATTCTGAAGCTTCATCTGACACACTTTGGACATGTTGCAAGGCGGGACCAGTCCTTGGAGAGGGACATCATTCTTGAGAGGGTGGAGGGACTGCGCAAGAGATGAAGACCCTAGATGAGATGGATCGATTCAGTCAGTGACTGGGGTCATGGGCATAGATGTGTCAGAGACAGTAAGGTTGGCACAGGATAGGGTCAGGTTTAGGGCTGTTGTACATAGGATCGCTATAAGTTGCAGGCAACTCTACAGCACATAACAACAACATGCCACCAGAGCTCCCTATTAGATGCTGTTATTGTAATTAACATGGTGTTGAGTTGGAATCATCTCACAGCTGACCCTCCAGAAGGTTTTCAGAGGCTGGAGGAAATTCTCTCACACAGCCACTTGTAGATTTGAACAGCATGCCTTTGGGTTGGCTGTGGATGGACATAGCTTTTGAAAGTAGTAAACAAAACTCTGATGCAAGTGATAGAAACAAGTGATAGCAAAGACCATGGCCTATATCAGATGCACCTTAGTCTCCAGAGAGATACCATTACTCTTCAGTACTTTGGAGAGGTCCCTAAGAGTCGACTTTCCCATGGCAATATGTCTTTTAATTTCCTGGCTACTGGTGCTGAGAGTGTTGACTGTGGAGCCAAGCAAACTAAAGCTGTGAATAATCTCAATCTCTTCACCATCCATCCAGATGCTGCCATTTGATCCAGTGGTGAGAATCTTTGTCTTCTTGACATTGAGCCTCAATCTATATTGAAGGCTGCAGTCCTTGATGCTCTGCAGCAAGCGCTTCAGGTCCTCTTCAGTTTCAACAAACAGGGTTGTGTCATCTGTATAACGCAGATTGTTGATGACTCTTCCACCAATCCTGACCCCATATTTCTCCTCATAGAGCCCAGCCTCCCAGATAATCTGTTCTGCATACAGGTTGAAAAGGTATGGAGATAGGACACATCCCTGGCGTATGCCCTTCCCAATTTTGAACCATGCAGTGTTTCCTTGATCTTTTCTGACTACTGCCTCTTGGTCCAAGTATAGGTTTCGCATTAGCATAATCAAGTGTTCTGGGACTGCCATTCTCCTCACAGTCAGCCACAGTTTGTTATAATCCACAGTCAAACGCCTTTGCATAGTCAATGAAACACAGATATACATTCCTCTGGTATTCCCTGCTTTTGGCTAAGATCCATCTAACATTAGCTACAATATCCCTAGTACCATGACCCCTTCTAAGCCCAGCTTGGACTTCCGGCAGTTCTCTGCTGATGTGCTGTTCCGGTTGTTTTTGGGTGATCTTCAGTAGAATCTTGCTTGCATGTGAAATCAACGATATTGTTCTACAGTTTCCACACTCTGTTGGGTCACCTTTCTTTGGGATAGGAACAAATGTAGATCTCTTCTAGTCAGTTGTCATGCATCACTTGTTAGGCATCAGAGTTGGACAGTGACTAAGGAGGATAGAAGGAGAATTGATGCCTTTGAGTTGTGGTGCTGGAGAAGAGTATTGAATGTACCATGGACTGCTAGGAAAACAGATTCATCCTGGAAAGGGTTAAACCAGGGGGCTCCCTGGAGGCAAGGATTCTGAGGCGAAGTCTAACATACTTTGGACATGTTGTAAGGAGGGAGCAGTCCTTGGAGAGGAACATCATGCTTGGTAGGGTGGAGGGACAGCGCAGGAGAGGAAAGCCCTCTGGAAGGTGAATTGATTCAGTGACTGGGGTAATCGGGATGGGTGTATCGGAGATGGTGCGATTGGCACAGGCCAGAGCAGAGTTTAGGGCTGTTGTACATAGGGTCGCTATGAGTCGCAAGCGATTGGACCGCACATAACAACAACAACAACAAACAAAGCTAGTGTTTGGTGTCCTGTAAACGCTCCCTTTCAGCCTTTCGTCCTTTCACACTGAAGGGTTAGAATTAGGGTTGCTATTGCAAAATCTGACCTGTCACTTTTCCAGAAGAATCTAGAGCTGGGATCGAGCTTCCTAATTAACGACCCCAACCACATGAGCAGGAGTATGTTATGGGGCTCAGTCGCGCGGGCCTCGGGGCCACGCCCCCTATTCTGGCCCGAGCGGCCCAATGGGATGCGGCGGCCAGGAGAGCACGCGACTTCAAGCCGACCCTCCGCGTCTCTGAATCACTTAGTGGACTGGAGCGCGTGGCGTCATCAAAGCGCGCCGGAAATCAGCGTTCAGCCGCGCTCTCCTGTCGCCTGGGGAAGGGGAAGGAAGTTGGCCTCGTAGCGGCCTGTGCTCTGTGGGCAAGGCCCAGGGCCGGAGCGGTCGCTGCTTCGGCAAGCTTGAGTGCAGCGTGATGGGAGACGAGATGGATGCGATGATTCCTGAACGGGAGATGAAGGTCAGATACTGGCCAGGGGCTCCCTCGGTCTCTTAATCCTGGCGTTACCTTGGGAGCCCCGAGGAAAGGGTGAAGCGCGGGTGCCACTGCCTTGCTTCCGGCTTGAACAGTTTACCGCGCGTTCAGAGTTCACAGTGTTGTCCTGATGTGCTTTGCCTTCCTGTCTGCGTGGTACCCCTCAAAATTAGTTTCCCGAGCCCCTGTTGGACTTGTGCGCTCCTCTTGAGCTTTCCTACCTACTGACACGTGGTCCTCTTGAGTGGCGGTAATCACTTTTGAGCCTGTAAGTGTGTGCTAGGTACCGTGAAAGCATTCTCTCCTCGAATCACCCCAGCAGCCCTGTGAAGTAGCTGTTAGTATCCCTGTTTCCCAGAGGAGCACATGGAGGCTCAGAAAGTTAACTTGCCCAGCAACATTTGTCTAGGAGGCGTCGACTTTACGCAAGTCAGGGTTTTTCATGCCTCCGGTATGAAGGTGGTCCAGGCTTTTCTAACCCTGAGCCGAGGAAGATCACCTAGCCTACAAAACCTTTCGTTTACTGGAATAGGAGAATTATTTAGGTACAGGGAATGAGTTTAAAGTCAACAAACGTCAGAGGAACTAGCTGGTCCAAGTGATGGTAAAGTTGGAAACGACAGAAAGAACTCTCTAAAATAGTTGCGTTTGACGTTTCTTTTAAGTGTGCAGACAGAATGTGGGTGCCGAGAACAAGCTACGTTTCTTTTAAAAAGCAAATAGCTGAAAGGGCATACATTGTAGGAAGACTCCAGGTATTTGTGTGAACAGTTCTCTCTGATTAGGAAAAGTAGTCATTTCCAAATTTAGAGTGTCAGTTCCTTCTTTTTTTTTCTTTAGGGTCGTTGCCCAGCCACAGTGTGTCATGTTTCTCGCACATGCTGAGGCAGATGTAAGAAAAGCAAGGCTTTAGACCCCACTGATTTAGATGAGGAGAGTCTTGTTTTGAGAGTGTGGCTTCATTCCACTGGCCCACTGTACTAATGTGATTCAGACACAATAGTGTATTTCAGATTATCAGGATTAAGAATGAAGATTCCAGTTTTATTCTACTTATATATGAAACCATGGTGTGGTCTCCCCAGAAAAGTGATGAGTTTCTCTTTATCGTTTTCAATTGGAATTATGAGAGAGCATTTCGATTAATCTTTCAGCACACATGTCTTAAACACCCAACTCAAGGAAATTAATAAGCGTGTAGGGTGGGTTGAGGATCTTGTTTGATCTTTATAAGACTAGTGAGTGGTAAAAAAAGATTGAGGAAGACTGTTTTTGGGTTTTACTGTTTTGGATTGTAAGCACTAAAGCCTTGGCCTGAAAATAGATTTAGGATTGAATTTAAATACAAACACAGTGTAACTTAACATAGTGATTAGCTAACTTGAACTCTTGTTGGAAGCAATGATAAATTCATAGAAGACAGGTGAGTCAGGCATTGGCAAAAGATCAAAGGAGGCTCCCAGGCCAAATATTTATGTCTTTGAGTGCTAAAGAACATGGGAATTGGAGGGAATTAGAAATAGGGTAGGGTGGGAGAGCAGGGAATGTATTTGAACAGTGACTCAATTAAAAACTCACTGCTGTCAAGTTGGTTCTGACTGTAGTGACCTTCCATCCAGTTTCCAAGGCTGTTGTAAATTGCAGTGAGAGGAGACTACCTATCTTTCAGTTGAGGAACGGATAGTGGAATGGACTGCTGGAGATGCACAGCCTTTGCATTAGTGCCATTCACTATCACCTGTTGAGTTGAATATGACTCGTAGTGACCCTACAAACAACAGGTTTGAACCCTGTCCTGTGTTGTCCTCACACTTCTGACATACTAAAGCTCACTGTGACAGTCGCTGTAGCAATCCATCAGGTTGAGGGTCTTCTCTTTCACTGACCCTCTACCTTTCCAAGCGTTATGTCCCTCCCCAAGGAATAGCCCTTCCTAGCAACATGCCCAAATTATATGAGATGAAGCTTCAGCATCTTTGCTTCTAAGGAGCAATCTGGCTGTACTTTCTCCAAGACCGTTCTTTTGGCAGTCCATGGGATATTTCAATACTCTTCTGCAGCACAGCAGCTCAAAGACATCAATTCTTCTTCTGTCATTATTAATTTTACATCTCTCAGATGCATAGCAAGTGTTTAGAAAGACCATGGCCTGAATCAGATGCACAGCAGTCTTCAAACTGATGTCATTGCTCCTCAATAATTAGGAGGCATCTCTAACTGCAGACTTTCCCAGTACAGCAAGTCCCCTGATTTCCTCATAGCTAAAGGTGTGATTGTGAATCCAAGCAAGATAAAATCATTGCCAACTTTAGTCTTTTCTCTATCATGTTGCCAATTGGCAACAGCTATGACCTATAGCACCAGAGTTCCCTGTAGCACTGGCAATAGCGCAGTGTTTGGAGAAGCAAGAGTGTTGAGAAATAACGCTAAAGAGGTAGAGGGGCCAAGTCATGGCTGAGCTTGTAGGTGGTGTTATGGATTCTGGTTTTGTGTTTTAAATGACCTTATAGCACATAGAGAGTGCTGGTGGCCTAGTAGTAAGAAACTGTGCTTCAATCCCAAAGACATGAGGTTTGAATCCACCACTTGCTCTGTGGGAGAAGGATGGGCAGTCTCCTCCTGTGTGATTTACTACCTCTGAAAACCCACTGGAGGGTCAGCTATGGGTCAGTTCTGGTTCAGTAGCACACAGCAGCAGCAGCAACATAACATAAAAGTTTTGCTTAATGGCATTAACCTCCAAGAGATTCACAAATTTGATTTGTCATTTGATATAAGTAAACAGTTTTGGGGCTTTTATCATCTTATTGCCATTGTTAGTTCAATATCTTTTGGGTTGGTTTTTTTTTCCCCCCCATTGAGACATTTTATTTGCACTGTTTATTACATCTCTAGAAAAAGAATCTCGGGATTTTTCCTGAGTGTTTCCTATGTGTTTTTGTCTTGCTTCCTCGTGGTCCATGATGCCAGCTGAGGTTGTCAGTACAATGAAACCGAACTGACAGGACGGAAGCAGATTATTCTGCCACTTTTCTAGATCTTTGAGCTGCACATCAAATCTGGGGCTGATAACGCCACAGTTGTTTAACCTGCCTGTGAGGTTGACAGCAATTTTCCCCTCTCTGTGATCATCAATGATTTCAAATTCGCCAATGTAGCCATGCTTCATCATCACGGTCAGGAACCGAACAATGACTTTGGAGCACCTGGCGCTTACCTCTCTTCTTGGCATTGATGTTCTTGGGCGCATCGGCCAGGACATTCATGCGCACCATTGTGGCAGCACGGAAAGATGGTGGAAAGAGCAATATCTGGTTTTTGAGTACTGCATTAGAAATTGGAGCTCACAGTAGTTGGATGGTACTTCATAAATATATTTAATAGATGTTACATTTTTGTTGTACTTAACATGAAATAGGATAAAATTAAAACAATGAAATACATTTTGTGTAGTGATTTAGAGAATAGATACAGTAGGAATTTAGAAAAAGGTGACTATAAGCTGCATTAATTAAAGACTTCTTGAAGATTCCACCCCCTCCCCATTTATTTCATTAAACAAGTATAAGTACCTATTACATCAGGCACCCAATAACAGCAATGTCCGGTACAAGGGGTTCTAGTGGTCTAGTAGTAAGGGGTTACACTGGCAGCTGAAAGGTACATAGTGCAGATCCACCAGCTGTCCTGCAGGAGAAAAATGGACAGTCTCCTTTTGTGTAATTTATGGCCTCTGAAAATCCACTAGAGGATAAGCTATGGATTGATTCCAACTTGATGGTATACAACAAAAATAACACATCGGGTACTTGGATCATAATAAGTACAAGAATTTAAAGACTCCTGAGACATATTGTATTGGGCCTCGGGGATTGTGTTGGACTATGATGACAAGGCATGATCAGCTTTTCTCTTAGCCTTGAGTGGTTTTGGTTTTTTTGTCTGCACTACAGGATTTTCGGTTCAGAGCACTGAAGAAAGTGAGACTCTTTGAGACCCCTGAGGAGTTGCCCAAGGAACGCTCAAGTTTGCTTGCTGTGTCCAACAAATACGGTCTGGTCTTTGCTGGTGGAACCACTGGATTGCAAATTTTTCCTACAAAAAATCTTCTAATTCAAAATAAACCTGGGGATGATCCTAAAGTTGGTAGGTTACTATATTTGTGTTGCATAATAGAGACAGGAGTGTAGTGAAGTGCTAATGTAGTTTTCCTTCTAAAGCAGTCATTGTGTAATATTAAAATTGGTGCTACTCCTAAATTTGACCCTTTTTTGCTACCAAGATGAATAAGTTCCAGGAGAGATATTAGTAACTTTTCTAAGTGTTTCCTTTGGTCTTTGCATTTCTCCTTTGATGGATTGTTCCTAGAAGCTCAGAAAGGAGAACTTTTTTATTTATGCCATGTTTTTATTTTTGATTAGTTAAACTTGTATTCTGGATTTCTAGGAGATGGATGGGTTGTATGGCTTTTTAGTTGATGTGACATTACTATCCAAATAAATGGGAAGATATAGTTGCAAAAATATTTTTTTTATAGTTGCAAAAATATAAGCATAGGATAATACTTTAGTTAGCAAGAGAGTGACCACAGTTAGTTTACCTAGGTTGTATGAAAAGGGTCCCTGGGAAAGTTAGTTTTAGCTTAATAATTAGGTATCTGGATGTGTGTGTGTGTGTCTTCTTCTATAGTTTAAAGAATTATTTCGTAGAGATTTGGATAAAGAGATGTGGCTTTTTGCTTGGAACATGCCATTTTGTGCTTTGTCTTTTTTATGTTTTCGTAGTTGATAAAGTCCAAAGCTTGATTGTGCCTATGAAATTCCCTGTACATCACCTGTCCCTGAGCTGTGATAACCTCACACTCTCTGTGTGTATGATGTCAAGTGAATATGGTTCCATTATTGCTTTTTTCGATGTCCGAACATTCTCAAATGAGGTAAGCTACTGGAAAAGATGAGAACTTAAAGAGCTTTCCTGGTATTGAATCATAATTTGGCAACTTCTTGGGTTGATTTTTGACCTTTCCCCCCTAGATTAAAATACAGGTTGGAAATCTTTTGAATGATAAAGTAATAAATAGCTCTTTGAAACCAGAGTGATTCCAAAAGGTTATTTCATAGCAAAGTCTTCTCATTTCTCATTTCCTCATGAGAAAACCCAAGTCCAGGGAGGTTTAGTTGAATTCCCCAAATCTTAGATAATGACACTATTCTTGTTTCTAAGTCTCTGACCTTCTAATACAGTAGCTTTCCATTTTAAGCAGTTTAACTATAATAATATTGAGTGTTTATGCCAAGTTCCGTACTAAGTGTTTTATGAGATTTGTCCTCATTTATACATACTGCAGCCTTATGAATTAGTACTATTACTTTCATTTTATAAATTAATTAATAGGCTTGGAGGTCAAGAAACTGCCAAAGGCCACAACATTATTAAGGAGCTGAGCCACAATTTTAATATTGTGTCTACTCTTTGTTATTTTGAATTTGTGTAGACCCCTCATGGGAGTCCTTCATAAATGTGCTAAATTAATTGCAATTTTCAAAGTTGGATTGCATTTTTATATAATGAATGATTATTGTGTGGAGCTAAATCTTCTTATAGAGAAATATGGCTATGGTTTGAGAAAATGTGCACATTCAGCAATTTCCTCTGAATATTTCATATCTCTGTATTTATTAATTTACTCTTGCTTTATTTTAAAAGGCTAAACAGCAGAAACGCCCATTTGCTTACCACAAGCTTTTAAAAGATGCAGGAGGCATGGTGATCGATATGAAATGGAACCCCACTGTTCCCTCCATGGTGGCAGTTTGTCTAGCTGATGGCAGTTTATCTGTCCTACAAGTCACAGAAACAGTGAAAGTGTGTGCAACTCTTCCTTCCACAGTCGCAGTAACATCTGGTGGGTAATAAAAGGCTTTTACTGCATAACATAGAGCAGTAGTGATCCATTTAAATATTAATTTATGGAAATAAAAGTAGGCTGATTTTATTCCCCTTTCTGTTTTGGGGGTTGGTGGTGTGGGTGGGGGAGTAGAAATGGAGACAGTATTATTTCATTTATGTAATTAATATCCTTGAAGGCAAATAGTATATGTGATTTACCCTTATGCACTTAGCTTTTATGGGATAAGAAATATTTTCTAGTTTAGTTGTTTCTATATGCAAAAGGACCATGCTCTGAAAATGAATTGTGCCTTTAGGGGAAAGGCATTTGAAATGCGGTAAGAACAGCAGAATGATTTCAGGACTTGCTTTGTTCTCCTTATCTTACCTGAATTTTACATTGCTTTCTATACTTCCCAGTTTATTGGCCCAGTGATACATGTGACTAGTCTGCATCATGAACATGATTTTACTCTCTATTACTTTGCCAGTTGGGGATGACCCTACAGCCTTCTGTGGACTAACAGAAGGAACGAGAAGTGGTAGTTACCTGTTTTGTGACACATCTCATTGATTTGCTCTATTTTCTTCAGTTTTTAATTGGTAGTGTTCTCTTTTTTTCTCAGTGTGCTGGAGCCCCAAAGGCAAGCAGCTGGCAGTGGGAAAGCAGAATGGAACTGTGGTCCAGTATCTTCCTGTGAGTTCTTGGCTTGGACTTGAAAACCCTTTTCTTAAGTTACCCAGATTCTTTGATATGATTTGGTGATTTCTTTGTTGAGTTTTTCTCCCACTAAAAAATACTAAAATATTGCAACACATTTAATCTTCCCTTCTATTGACTAACCCTCTTTGAGTTATCGATTTCATTCTGTTAGTGAGTAACTTTCCAGACTTTTTCTGGATACTTAGAAAAGTAGTCTGTGTTAAAGACATAGTTTTAGTTTTGTTTCTTAAATAAAAATATGACCATTCTCTGTATATTTATCCCAATCTTTAAATTGCATTCCTTAAGAACAGAGCTTGAGTGGGAAAGATGAGGGAAAGGCTGCTATTTCCTACCATAATGCAAAATCACTTGAATGAAAATATTATTTGTCTTTCTAACAAAATCCATTCTAAAGAAGTGGATATTCCTGTTGTTGCTTGTACACTCCCATTCTGTCCCTGTGATTTTATTAAGATAATAATCACAGATACTTTATTATAATTTGCATCACCAAGAATCCACATATGAAGTCTGAACATAAAGAAAGGTTTCACTGTACTATTGTGTATTCCCCTGAGAAACTGTTCCCTGAATTGTGTGTAAAGTAAATGTAGTGGCATACAAGTGAAGTTAAAATTCTATGTCTTACCGTTATTGTTGGGAGTTGTTATGTGAAATCTGGTATATAGTTTTTTTAGAATATGATCTGTTTTTAAAAAGAAGACATAATTGTGGCACATTCATGTGAGTTATTTTTTTGGGACAGCATTCTTTTTTTGGGGGGGGGGAAACGACAGCATTCTTGAAGCAGGTGTCTGTGTCATCTGTTCAGTCTTTCCTGGCTTGGGAGATAAAACATAGAAGAGTGTTTGATTAACAGTTTCATTGATTTAGAGATTGTTTTCTTTGACTTTTTTTTTTAAACAAATCTTTTCAGACTTTGCAAGAAAAGAAAGTCATTCCTTGTCCTCCATTTTATGAGGCAGATCATCCAGTTAGAGGTAACACCACTTCTTTTATTATTGAACTGATTTCTAATGAGGCTATGTCTGTGCAGTCTTGCTAAGTGTGTGTTACAGATATTTCAAGTCCTGTGGTGTACCTACTGAGGACTGTGTTGAAATGTTATGATTATTTGATTATTTCCCTTGGCTAATTAAGTTAGCTTAGTGATAATTCTCTGGTAAATAACAAATCTCATGGTAAATGGTGGGACATGATGGAGCCGCCCTATGAATTTAGGTGTTTATTAGGATTCTTCATAACTTTCCCTGGTAATAATGACACTTTGGAATGAATTTGGGCTTTTCAGACTTTTGTGATTTGAAAATAGTCTGTAAATTAGTGAAATCTAGATCTTTGTTAAAACTGTAGTACTTAGACTTTTATGTTAATTTTATAGTGTTCACTACCTCTGCCTGCAGTGGTCTTTATTAGGATGTGTGTCTTTCAGTTCTGGATGTGCTGTGGATCGGCACATATGTCTTCACAATAGTATATGCTGCTGCAGATGGGACTTTGGAAACAGCTCCAGATGTTGTGATGGCTCTTCTACCTGTATGTATATAGAAGAAACTGTTTTTTCTTTAATAGTCATAGACTCTTGTCTAATGAAGTTTGAAGCTTAGATTTCCATTTCCTTTACTTATTGACAAAGATGGTGTAGCTTCAGTTAGTTGTAAGGTTTCATTATTTCACCATAGGCCTAGGGGCCCCAAATTAAGGTGATTTGGAATCCTAAAGCCATACCCTGCCATGGAGTTCTCTCCAGTTTTGTAAATCTTTACAGAAGGGAACTGTTCATATTTCTCCCATAGAGTGGCTGGTGGATTTGGACCACCGTCCTTTCAATTAACAGTTGTACATGTAATATACTATGCTACTAGGGGTCTTTTATTTAGTTACAAGGGAAAAAAATTACAACCTTTTTCTTTTTTTCTTAAGCTTTAAGCAGTAAGTGTTAGTAGGTATTTACTCAAAAGGGAATTTTCAGTAAACAAGATGTTTTTCAGAAATGTATTAAAAGCCTAGACATTGTGTGCTAGACATTGCTTTAAAATGGAAAATAAAGTTGTAGCCCAGAAAGGCAAAGCTCTTGTTTTTGTGCTGATCTTGCATTCTAATGAATTTGGTCACTCACTCATTGCCATCAAATTGGAACTCATTGCTGATACTCCAATGACTTTTCAGAGTCTATAACACACGTGGGAGGAGACTATCCATCATTCTTCTGCAGAGCAACTGGTGAATTTGAACTAGATATCTTTGAATCAGGTCTGTTGGCAGCATGACTCTTTGTCCAGTCAGCTACCAGAACTCCCTGATTGTGTAGCCAACTGCAAATGAGTGTAGGATAAAGAAAGGTTAAGCATGAAGAAGTAATTTAGTATAAAGGACAGATGGTTACCATGGTGCCCTTTTAGATTGGGTGGTCCAGAAAGAGGAGACATTGTTTGAGAGGAAACCAAGAATAAAGTAAGGGAGATTAAGTCTTTTTTTTTTTAAGAGCAGGGTGGAGGTGGGGGATAATTAGTAACATTATCTACAAAGTATTACTAATTTGTAGTGGCATGTAGAAGAAACAAATGAGACAGTTTATGTAAGTAAGATTTGTTCTGGTCCTTCTAATTTGCAATTTTTGTTTAATAGTAAAGTTATAAACAGCTGTATATCACTAAATATGTATTTGATCATTTGGGTATTATCAGTTTGCTCTTAGCAGTTCCTTTAGGATTGGATGAATATGAAGATTATTTTCATTTTTTTAGTATTTTGAAGAATGTTAGGATTAATTCTTTAATGCTCATTTCATTTAATTCGATTCTTTATTTGTTAGAGTCATGCCAAGAAATAGCTGGGTGTATTTTGAGATCTTCAGAGAACATTGCCAGCATATCTTGTGAGTCAGAATCTATTTGATGGCAGTGAACAAGGAGCGTGACACTAGCATTTACTCACTGCTGCTTTCATACTTAACAGCAGTGTCTGAAGTAGTATCAGAATGGTTGAGTAATTTGTCCCTTCTTGTCACATGTCCTATAAGTGGCAGGACAAGGCTTGAGTGAATTTTGCTTGGTGACGACTTTGCTTTTTACGACTCAGACTTAATTTGAGTGCTACGTCCCTATTTCTAAGATTTTGAGTGAATGATCTCATAAAAAGAAATTATTTTCTCTTTTTATATTCTTAATTGTATGGACCAAGGCGGGGGGGAATAACATGAGATTCTTTCCCACCCCCCACTGTTCATTGTAGAAAAAAGAAGAAAAGCACCCAGAAGTGTTTGTGAACTTCATGGAACCCTGCTATGGCAGTTGCATAGAGAGACAGCATCATTACTTCCTCAGTTACATTGAAGAATGGTGAGTACAGAATCCAAGGAATAAATTTGTGCTGTTGTTGCATCACATTTTTTTGCTCTTTGTTTTCTGCAAGAGTAAAACAGATAGTTTGGATGTCCTGAATATATTTTCACCTGGTGCTGGAATGCCTTTCTGCTTCCTCATTCGTAAATTATTTCGACTTAAGAGCTTCTAATCTTAAAATTCTGTTGTCTAATTTACCCACCTTACTTTGAAAAATCACTGGGCAAAAGTTGAGAACAAGTGGTACAATGCAAGAGACGAAGGTTCAGTTCCTGACTAGTGCAGCCTCAGTATAGTCACTACTCTTCTGTCATTGGAAGCTAGTAAGGTACAGTGATCAGTGGAGCTTCTAGTCTGAAATCAGCTAGAAAGAGTAGCCTGGTGATCTGCATTCAAAAGCAATTGTTAGGTGCCGTCGAGTAGACTACAGCTCATACTGACCCTAAGCAGCAGGTTGAAAATTTGCACTGTCCTGTGCCATTCTCACAGTCTCCATCATTGTTGAAGTCTCTGTGTCAGTCCTTCTCCTTGAAGGTCTTTACTGTTTCACAAATTAGCCAGTGCAAATCTTGTGAGTCACAGTGGTCAAAACTGGTTGAGTACATGTGCTTACCATGAAGTGGGTGAACTTGATGACAGCTGACTACAACATTGAACAAGTTAGGTAAGCTTCCCTCTGAGAAAATGGAATTGAAGGGTAGACCACTTAAAGCAAATTTTCTGTTCCCATAACTACATTATTCTGCTCATTTTTGTTGTTGCCTGCCATTGAGTTGGAACCAACCCATGGCCGACCCTTCAGCAGGTTTTCAGAAGCAGTTAATCACATGGGAGGAGATTGCCCACCCTTCTCCTTCCTACAGAGCAGCTGCTGGATTCGAACCATGTACCTCTGAGATTGCAGCCCAGCTTCTTATCACTGAGGCAGTGTATTTATTGTGAATTTAGACTTGTTTATATTGTGGCTTTACCTTGATTGACCTTGCTGGTTCTGTAATGTGTTATCCACTGAAAGCCAGAAAAAGTTAGTTTTACATCTAACCATTTCCCACTTTTCTTCAACTGTACAGAAAATAGACCCTTTACTTCCCTGACATCTAGTGGATATACTAACTCGTAGGTGTTACCACAGACTCAGAGGAAGGTAGCATTGTTGGTATATTTGAATCTATTGATCTTCTGCTTTTTTTTTCTCTGCAGGGATTTAGTACTTGCAGCATCTGCAGCTTCTACAGAAGTTGGTATCCTTGCTCGACAAAATGATCAGGTAAATTTTTCTTTTTTTGGTTAGTTTTTTGTGATAACTCTTAGTGAAAGATTTTGGAGTGAATTAACTACGTGGTTGAGATTTAAATAAGATCCACATGCCTATTAATGAGTTTATGTAGAAGCACAAAGCTTAAATAACAAGTGCATTGGATCAAATGGCTTGCATACGGTTTTGGGCAAACATGGGTGTCAGATTTAGCTGTTCCTTCAGGGTTGTAAAAAGCCCTTCTGTTCTGTGTGGAGTTTGCCCCACAGTCTGTAGAAGCAAAGTATGCACTCAGCTTCCAGTAGGAGTATACCTTGATTTGTAGGAGGTGTCGTCGATCTTCTGTTTTATTACCTTTGTTTTTGTCCTTTCTCCTGACCATTTTATATAAGAAACCGTACTCTTCCATTCATTGTGAAAGACATGTAGATAATAACAAATTAGGACTTAACAGAAATAATTTATAGATTCAAAATTAAATTCTTGGCAACTTTAAAAAAAAGAAGAAAGAATTTGCTTGATTTGGAGGGGGAAAAACAAAAAATCCTTCTATATGTCTATTAATGCCTCCCTGTCTTCCTTCTTTCTCCTGGTTCTTGCAGTGAAGGAGGGAACTGAGGTGATAGGAAGCCATTCACTTGTAGATTATATTGCGTAAGGCAACATAGACGAGAACAGTTTTCCATTTAGAACTTTGGCTATAGCTGTGCTTCCACCTATTTGATGTTTACTATTCTTGCAGAGTGACGCTGGCCCACTGGGAACAGGCTCAGCTCTCGGACATTCAGAGTAGGCCACTTCTCAGCCGTGGGACAGATCTTACTATTCTAATTTGCTGTTTCAGCAGTACCTCTCTAAGACAATTTTTGCTAGCTCTTTTTAATGGCACAAATATTTTATGTATCCAAGCTTTAAAAATACACTTTTATTTTTACTTTATCAGAATAATTTATGCATATGCTTAAAAATCAAATGTACAAAGGGACTCATAGGTAAAAAGATTCCTTGTCCCCTGCTCCACTCTTTACTTTTGGAATCCTGTGCTCTAGGGAGGACATTTTTAACTTGAAGCTTATTTCTTTTAATCAATTTTTATATTTAAATAGTAATAGACTTTATTGTTATTGTTGTTGGTTGACTTTGAGTCAAGCATGACTCGTAGCATCCCTATGAATAAAAGGCTTGAAGCCCCTTTACAGTTATCGACATTTATCAACATTCAGAGTTTCCGGAGGCACATTATTTAGGAAGTGGATGCCATTCCTTTATTAATAGTTATTAGTTAAAGCTCTTCTTTGTTTTGTCTGTAGTGTTTTTTAAAGTTGGCATTAGTTTTGTTTACACTGTTAGGAGCATATGAATAATACTCTTCTTTTTTTTTTAAATTATTATTTTTTGTGTGTGTGTGTGTGTGTGTATACCGTCAAATCAGATCTGACTGGTACAGGAGGAGATTGTCCCTCCTTCCCCAGCAGAGCATCTGGTGGGTTCAAACCATGCGCCTCTGGGATTGTAGTTGCAGTTCCTTGCCACTAGGCCACCAGAGCTCCCCCCCCCCTTTTTTTTTTTTTGAGTAAGTCATATAGAATGGTTTAGTCATATAGTATGGTTCTGTTCCTTCTCCTGAACCACTTTTTATTTTTCTCTCTGTTACTTGAGGACTTTTTCCTTTTGATTCATACTGCCTAGTCTTGGTCTTCATTGAATGTTAGATAAAATGTCAGTGGTTTTTTTTAAGTTGAGAATCATTTGTTGGAAGAAACAAATTACTGAAGCAACTGTGAGCAAAAGAGGGGCTTGTTTATTGGAAGAACTTAGGGATTCTTCAGGAACCTGCAGTCAGGAAAATTGGCCAAACTAAGGAACTGGGTCACCAGGAACTGGGAAGACAAGAAGTAGTGTTAACCTTCTGTTTGTGTGCATGAGCAAGCACAGGGCATTAGTTCACCTCTATAAGTTTCTCTCCTCAAGACTTCCTAGACATCAGTGGCACTCCGGATCAATCCCAAATATCTAGAATCAGGTATCGATTGGCTTACTGCAGCTACTGGATTTTCCAGGAGGTGGCTCAGAAAATACTGACAATTGTGATTGTTTATTCAGAAGGCAGTGACCTCAACAGATAGAAGTTGAACTAGAAAATGAATCTTTTGCTGGCTGGATTGCATATGATTTTTAGTTCATCTTCCCAGATTTCAGAGCCTCACAGTCCATAAAGAAATCTAAACTAAGTGAATCTTATTTTTTCTTGGAGTGATGCTTAGAAGAACCAGTATAAAACTAAACAAAATGATATTTTCTTCTTTTTTTCAGATTAACTGGGAGTCTTGGCTTTTGGAGGATTCTAGTAGAGCTGAACTACCTGTGACAGAAAAAAATGATGACTCCTTGCCTGTGGGAGTTGCCATAGATTATACTAACCAAATGGAAATCACAGTTAGTAAGTGCACCCTGATGTTTCTTGAAGGAATACACTTCTTTTTTATGCTAGTTTATACTTATTGTTATGTGTACTGCCGAGTCAGAATCTACTGTAGCTGGTCCTCCAGCCAGTTTTCTGAGGTAGCTAATTGCACAGAAGGAGATTGTCCATCCTTCTCCCATGGAGCAGCAATGTGTGCTACTAGGACAGCAGTTATCATTTATATTGATTCATGACAAGAGTACACTCTAGCAGCAGGGCACTTTTAGCTTCTGGTAGCCTACTTCTAGTTGAATGGGATGGTGCATTGTGTTAGCACTAAACCGAATTTGATTACATTGCCATTGATGATACCAAGGCTAGACACACACTGTCTGTATCTCTTCATGAATGTATTTTTTTGTTGTTGTTGTTATGTGCCATTGAGTCACTTGCGACTCATAGTGGCCCTGTGTTCAAGAGCTCTAAACCCTGCTCTATGCCAACCTCACTGTCTCTGACATACCTACTCCCGTTACTCCAATCACTGAATAGATCCATCTCATTGAGAGTCTTCCTTCTCTTGCACTGTTCCTCCACCCTCTCAAATATGATGTCCCTCTCCAAGGAATGGTCTCTCCTTGCAACATGCCCGAAATATGTCAGAAGAAATTTCAGAATCCTTGCCTCCAAGGAGCAGCCTGCTTTCACCCTCTCCAAGACAAACCTGTTTGTTCTCCTAGCAATCTATGGTATATTCAACACTCTTCAACACCACAGCTCAAAGACATCAATTCTCTATCATCCCTAGTCACTGTCGAGCTCTCCAACTCATAGCATGCAATTGCGGAGACTGTGGTCCAGATCAGGCACACCTTAGTCTCCAGCCTGACGGGTTTTTTCTTAGCAAAACATTTATTTGTAATATATGCCTGAAATCCAACTGTTCCAGAATGACTAGTGAGTCAGTGATAGTTTTCAACGTGAGTAAAAGAAATAACATTAAATGAGCTTCCCCCCCATATTTTTATTGGTTTAAATATAGTCATTCATATATACTGTATATCATGCACATACATTGTGTTTCATACGATTTTTCATTTTCATTGTGTTTCATTCATGTACATTTGTTTTATACAAGCATTCATAGACGTTGTATTTTATATAATTAATTACATTTAATCTATGCCTGTTAGCACTGTCATTTCAAGTCCCTGTCTTTCCTATTCCTTCACCCTCTATCCACCCACTAATCTCTGCTTTCTTAGTGATTTCCTTCCTTTCCCATTTTCCACTCCCATCTTCCTTTCCCCTTCCCTTTTTAAACGTTATACACATCTTGCTCAGTGTTCCCTCTGTTTTTTACAGTAATAGTCTTATACAGTATATGTCCTTATGAGACTGAGTTAGTTCCCTCAGCACAATGCTCTCCACCTTCTCCCATGTTATATATAGAATTTTACGAATCGTTGCTCCTTAGTGCTACTTAGTATTCCTTTATATGAGAACGTACCGCAATTTCTCAATCCACTTGTTTGTTTATAAGCATTTGGGCTGTTCCTGTAAAATTAACTCTGAGCTTGAAGGTGTGGTAGACTAGCTTTCCCATGAAGTAAATATTAAACTAGTTTGTACAACAAATAGGAGAATCACTGTGCTGCAACATTTCTCAACTGAGAATCTCCTTATCAAATTCTTTATCTTTCAGAAAAGCTTCATACTAACCTCTCAGACAATCAGCACCCTGCTTCCACTTCTAAATCTACTCTCTTCCATTTCAGATTGCAATACTGTATGGACAACTGTCAAATTCCATTGCAATTTGTACACTATTTTAGACTTTCTGTTACATATGTGTGTGTTCTTATAGATGTGTGTGTATATTTATATTAAATATAATAACAATTATAGACTTTAATGATAAGGTAATTAATAAGCTAGCCATTGCAAATTTTATCTAGAAGAAAGAAGCACCTCCCAGCATCCTTAACTTTTGAGTATTTCTTCATAATACATAGAATGAAAATCTAAGATTTGACATGAAAATGAGAAAATAATGCTTTAAATAAAATCATTCACATAAATGTTAAATTTCATGTTCAGATCATATTTTCTTCTATATTTCAGTTTGGGAAATTTTGCAATTATTAGCACATCTCAATTACACTTATTCTTGAGCGTTTACATATTCTACGTACTAGATTGTAAAATCCACGTTAGTTACCACTTCTCTTGCTTCTGTGCTCTGTGTGTGTATTTTAGAATATGGTTGGAATATAGAACATGCATAAAGCAGGATATTCCTAAAGCTTTTAGCAGGGACTTTTAAAACCACACATGCCTTCTTTCCCTGGAACCAGGAATCATTTACCTAGAAATACAAATATGTTGAACTTTTAAAAGTTCAGCTAATACAGAAGATTTTAAATTGTTCTGCATTAAACACATATATATTCACTGTTGTTGTTGTTGATTGCCTAGTCGAGCACAACTCATAGCGACCCTATTAACTAACGACCCGAAGCCTTTCTAAAACTATCATTTCTCAAAGGTCATACAGTTTCCAGAGGCATGTTGTTTAGGAAGTGGATTCCACTCCTGCTACCATTACATTTTACTCTATTTCCTTTATTACATAGCCTTCTGTAAACCAGATGAAGTTTTCTCCCTCTTTATTGTGGAGCAATACATTCTTCGTGAATTTTTAAAAATATTTCTAAATGAAGCTGCTTCGTTGAGTTCCATATCAGCATTAGGCCTTGATCCACAGCCTCCATAAAAATCAGAACACATTCGCTATCTGGTATTACAAAAGCCGAAGAGATGTTTAGCAAGGAAATAATTCATTTCATCTGGCTTTGACAAGCACTGTGGCATTTGGACAAGAACAAACTGGGAGGAGGGTGGAGAGAGTGGTGCAGCAATGAATGAGTGGAAGCCCAGAATCTCTGTAAATGTTTATGAAAATTAATAAAATATAATTATAGGAAAAAAAAATAATTCATTTCATCCATCAGTCATTCCAAGTTCCTTATTTCTAGTTACATGTGAGAAATTTCATTGGAAATTTGTTGCTAGAAAAACGTCTCTTCACTGGAGACCGCTGATTTTTTTTTCTTTTTTTTCAGAGACCACTGATATTTTAAAAATTAAGCATTTAACTGATTATCTCATTTTTTACTTCTCAAAAATCAGCATTAAAGCTTTTCTCTAAGAATGGTTTGTTCTTCATTCTTTTTTTTTTTAATGTGTTTCTATATATTTTATATATATACTTTTTAAATTTTTTTCTTTTTCCTTGTGTGTACTGTTGAATTAGATCTGATTGGCACAGGAGGAGATTGCCTCTCCTTCTCCAGTGGAGTATCTGGTGGATTTGAACTGCACGCCTTCGGGATTGCAGCATATCTTGTCACTAGACCACTAGAGCTCCTGTTTTTCACTCTGTCTTCAGTCTTGTAATTAAATGTTTTCCACAGTTAGAGGTTTAATAGGGAAGTAACAGATTACAGTTAAGCTTGTAAACAAAATTCTTCAGTCAGGACAGCTTCTTAGGTGTGTTTGCGAGCCCTCAGACCTTCAGTTTCCTGACTCTGGGGCAGTGTTTCTGAGCTCATTTAGTTCTGCCAATGGTGGTGTCGCCTCCCTAGCCCACCAGTATGCCTGGGTAAAGGCGCTCAGCACTGGCTCCATGGGTTGGCAGTTCCATTAAGCTCTTGCTCTTGTTGATCTCTGCTTCTCTACTCCTTCTCTGATTCTTGCTGTTCTGGTCGCATGCACAGTCTGTCTCACATAGGAATCTCTGATCTCCTGTACTCTTGGCTTGTCTTTCTTGCTGGTAATGTGATTATACTCTGTGATTCAGTTTTTAACTGGTAATTTTGCTATTTCTTTATTTTATACATTCTTAAGACACTCCATCTGATTTTGTGGAATGAGACATGGTATATGTAAAAAAAAAATCAAAGTAAAAGATGGCTGCTATTTAAGTAAAAGGCATAATTAAGTTTTCTTTTCTTTTTTAATTTTTTATTTTAAATTTAGTTTTTTTTCTTTTATTTTAGAGTGCAGTCCTGGTTAACAGTGTATGTTTCTTCATTTGCCATTTCCTACAAAATAGAATTACTACATAAGTACCACTACCGACAGCAAGCATACTAAGTAAAAGTCAAGATTTCCTAACATTTCTTTTTGTATTTGTAATATGCTAGTTGTGTACAGTTAGACTATTTGTATATAAAAGTATTATATTATATCCGTATATTCATACCACTTGAATTTAAGAATCATCTCAGGAACAGGTTTGAGGCCTTGAACACTAA